AGAGTTGGGTAGGAAATGAATTAAAGTTGTATGGCCTACCTTAACTCTAGAATTTCATCATTTTTAAATGCCTGACATTGCAACCTTGATGTTATAGCTCTCTGGGTCTCTTTGTTCTTTGTTTGTACCGTGCCTCACGTAATGGGGAGTTAGGGCTCTTAGGTGCTACAGTCTAATGTATATTGGTAGTTCTTACATTTATTGTCAGCTGTCTGATTTTAGCTTTTTAAGACTTCCTACTGTTTTCTTAACCATCCTTTGTAAAGAAACCATGCCTCTTTCCTTCAGTATTATTTCTCCTGGATTGGCAAGGTATCAGAATATTGTTTCCATTTTTATCTGCAGGGTTGACAGCTTGCTTGGGCTCAATTCTTCATTCATTGAAGTCCTTAATAAATTTGTCATAGATTTCTGAGGATACGGCCAGCAGCCTCAGTACATTTGTTACTCAGCTAATTTTGTTTTTTTTTCAAAATGTCCAAACACACTCTGCTTTCTTACAGCAACACTGTAAGACAAACCTTAAACAAGCAACTACGTAACTGATTACCTGTATAGTTTTCTTAAGATTCATTTTATTTCTGATAGCTTTAAGAAAAGAACCATTGCATTTAGTTTCACAAAGTTTTGTTAAATAACCTTAATAAAAACAACTAACAGGATATTTAAAAAATTGTATTTGACTATGACTTAGGTAACAAAAGCTAAAAATTTGGTGGCTCTGAACAATTCACATTTTCAAGATCAAATCACAATAGAAAATGACAATCACTAGCTTGAAAAGATGACTTTGTTTAGATTTTTGATTGAGTTCCTTAGATCGGAGCCTTATCTGTGCCGTTTGGTTATCAACGCTGATGTTGCTAATACCAGAGAAGAATGGTGGAGGACAATCCAAAGATAAAGCATAAGGCAATTTGGTCAGTCACTTATAGGCCAATTCACCAACATCTCCTTCCCAACCCAACCGATCTGTAGTGGGCAACTACTTTCCCACCAATTATATTAGCCTTGGAATCTGACTAACCCTTCTAACTGCATTTATAATCCGAGTGCTGTGTAAAAAGTTTGTATACTTGGTCTGTTTGTGTTGGTATGAAAAGATTAACTATTGTAGACACTTGAAGAGTATTCTGCAATCTCCGTTAACAAACTTGTTGAGATTGAAAGATACTCTACGAGTATCTTGACTGGAACCTGTTGCAAAAAAAGGACACACATGCTGTAACCCTGTGACAATCTTTAGAATACATACACAAACATGTACTCTTTCTTACTAATTAGGTATCCAGTTTCAGGAAGTAGTCAATTGATTTTGCTCATAAACCAAGAAAAAAAATCTGTGGGCTGCTTATCGCCAAATCTTTGCTGTGACCTCAGCTGTCAGCTCAGTTATTGTTCACAGTGGAAGATGCTGCTGCAAAGGCAGGTGAAGTACAGCAGTGGTTCCCAACCTTTTTCGTACCAAGGATCGGCAAACTCATTGAAAAACTGTTGGCAGACTAGCACTGAACTATTTGTATATTCATTGTGGCAATGAATTTATTTGCATATTTGAGTATTCATTATGATAATTTTAAGAGGTTACATGTTGTTTTGAATTGCATCTGTAT